AGATCTCTGTGAGTTCAAGGTCAGCCTGGTCTACATAGTGAGTTCCAGGACAGCTGGAGCTACAGGGAGACCCTGCTTCAAAGAGATTAAAAAAAAATTTATTTATTTTTAGAAATAAAATTTAAATAAAATTAAGATAATAAATAAAAATATTTTTTTAAAAGAAAGATAATGTAAGCACTGAAGTATCTTGAGGGAGAAAGAGGAGTGCTCTGGGAGAGGAAAGAATGGCAAGGGACCCAGAATAACTAAAACAAAATTAAGTTAAAAAGAAACAAAGTCAGAGGAGCTGTAGTTCCTGATTTCAAAGATGATTACAAAGTGATAAGCATTGAAATAGTGCAGCCAGTGGTATGGGGACAGACATTTAGGTAAGTGCCAAGATAAACCCTGTGGCTACTGTCATCTGGTGTCCTCTTCTTGTCTCCTCCTCCTCCTCTTCCTCCTCCTCCCACCTCCCTCTCTTTTGATTTTTCACAAAAGTATCAAGACTACCCAATGAAGAGAAACTGTCTTTTTAGCAATGGTGGGAAAGCATGCAAAACAATGAAGAGACTCCTTACCTCACACCATAGTCAAAGTTAACTCTAAATGGATTGAAAACCTAGATGTAAGAGCTGGGACTATAAAACTCTTTGAGAGATACTGAGTAAGTATTTTCAATTTTGGATTAGGTAATACGTCTTCATTATGATACCAAAAGCATGAGAAAAAGAATAAAAATGATTAATTACACATTTCAGCAAAATAAGAAGACATTATCCAGAAAACAATGAAGAAAACAACAACTTTTACAACTCAACAATAGAAAGAAACCCAAATTTGAGAATAGGTAAAGGATTTATTCAACACTTCTTCAGAGAGGATATGTAGATTGCCAATAAGTACCTGAAAAGATGCTTACTGCCGATTTAGCTCCTCATCAGAGAAATGCAAATTGGAGCAGGAGATACTTCTTCACACCCAAGAATGGACATAATTTTAAAATAAGTATTAGCAGAGATGTGGAAAGATTAGAACCCTTCTACTGTACTGGTAGGAATGCCAAGTGCAGAGTATGGAAAACCATTTGGCAGGTCTGAAGAGAACTGAAAACATACATTCATGCAAAAGCTTGCACACAAATGTTCACATCACTATTCACCGTAGCTAGAATAACTCTACTGTCCATTAACTACAGAACAGATGCTAAAGTGTGGTATAGCCAAATAACAGAATACCATTTAGCCATAAAAAGGAATGGAGTAGAGGCTGGGTGGGTAGCTCAGTGGTATAGCACATACTTCCTACCTGCAAGATCCTAGGTTCAACCCCTAGCATTTTTCTTAAGGGAATATGCAGCACTGGCACATGATACACTATAGCTGAACCTTGAAGACACTGCAGAGTAAAGGAAGTCAGGCATTAAAAGTTATACACAATCCTACTTATGTGAAATGCCCAGAACAGGGAACTGTACAAGGTGGGTATGTTGGCACATGTTTTTAATACCAGCACTTGGGATGCTGAGGCAGGCGGATCTTTGTGAGTTTGAGGCCAGTCTGGTCTACCAGGACAGCTGGGGATAACAGGGAGATCCTGTCTCAAGAAGACAAAACATAAATGTCGAGAACAGGCAACTGTACAGACAGGAAGTAGATCCATGGTTGTCAGAAGAATGAAGGGTAACCACTGATAGATATAGGCTTCTTTCTGGGGTGATGAAGACAGTCCTAGAGACTGCATGGCTTTGTGCATGTACTCTACTAACATTTCACAGGGTTTAATTGTGTAATGAGAATTATACCTCAATTTTTGAAAGGGAGACAGATATTTGAACTGGATCTTGAACAATATGCTTGCAGGTTGAATAGATGGCTCAGTGGTTAAGAGCACTGGCTGCTCTTGCAGTGCACCCAGGTTCGGTTCCCAGTACCCACATGGCAGCTAACATCTGTCTTTAACTCCAGCTCCAGGAGATCCAAAGCCCTCTTCTGGGCTCTGTGGGCATTGCATGACATGGGTATACTTAAATATGTACAGGCAAAACAAATACATGAAATAAAAATAAATAAAATAGTTTTTTAAAAAAGATTTGCTTGATGGGGTAGATAACAGTGAAAAGAGAAGTCTAAGAATAAAGATCAGAAGGCAAGAATGCATGGAAACCAGCAGAAAGCAGTGCACTTTCAGGTAGGTGGAACTGGCTAAGAGGTTGGAGTGCATGGTATACACACAGGAGCGGCAGAACCTGAGCTGACAATGCATCGACAAGACAAATAACAAAAGCCTTATATGGGAACTGAGGAGAACCCCACAGCATGCCTCAGACTCTCAGGACAGTGATGTGACCTTGTGGTTCGCCTCCATCTACCTGGTTGGGAGCCTCCTTTCATTACCTCAGAATCACCCAAGAGCTCTGCTGTGTTGGCAAGCCCACACTTTCCTCACTGTTTATGAATCATATATCTATTTACACCACTGGTTATTTTGAGCTTTTACCCCAGCATAGTGTAAACTCCTTGAGGGCAGACTTTTCAAGTTAGAGTACTCTGTGAATTCCTAAAGCATTTAATGGGTGGAAATTTTGCCAAGCTCTCTTAACTTTAAAAACCTCTGCTTACCCTGCAACCCTGTTTGGCTTCCTCATCACAAATTCGGCCAATGAACCATGTCTTACACGACAGGTTGACTACTGATTCTGTTCTTCTCCTATGGTGCCGATTTCTTCCCAGGCTCACACCACAGCTACCTGGGCCTGTCCTTCACATCTTCTGCCCTCACCTACTAGATGAGGCACCTGGAGATAACGCCTGTGCCATTCCCAGCCCTGCAATTCCTAGCACTGTGGTGGGCAGAGTCTGAATTGGACTGTTCAGCCAGCAGCCATGATGGGATCAGAGAGAAAAATAGTCATTATCATAAAAGTTAAAAGAAAAACCAAAACCAAAACCAAAAAAGCCCTGGAGGCTACAGGAAACAGGATGCAGGCACTAACAGAGGGCATGTATTGAACTAGTCTGTGACCACTACCATGTGTATTTTCATCACGTGGATCTCATTTTGCTAGAACTCTAGAAGACTCAGACAAAAAGGAATAGCCTCCCAGCTGCTATGTTCCCAAGCCTATGGTTTTTCTATGATATAAACACAAGATTCTGGACGTATGGTTAATGTTTGCTGGAGTGGATCTGGGGGAAAAATGGATGATGAGGAGGGGGTAACTTGAGGGAAGTCTGCCTAATGAACTGACAGTTCATATAAGCAACACCTGGAGTGTTAAACCCACTCCAAGTGTTATTTTACTGGAAAAAAAATTCCATTCTTCCTTCGGTAATGTGAAAATTCTTTCGGCAGATGTGTTCCAGGCTACAGTGTATGGCAGTTTAGGGGAGATGGCAGCTGGAATGGATCAGATTCAGGATACACAGAATGTTCACCAGCAACAAGGGGATAATCAGAGCCTACAAAATGAATCCTCACAGTCCCACTTCTTTAAGAGGATGGATTGGCCTTAATCTGCCTGCACACGGTGTGCTGCTGGTACACACTGGGGATTCGGGAAATACCAACCAGCTTTGGCTGGGCACAGGGTCGGCCTAGAGAATAGGAGCTTTGGGACACCTGCTGTTTCATGACTTCCCACTTCACTCCTTAAAACCCCAAAACTGAAGTTTTGGTTTTGATCCTATTTTTGTTAAATATTTATAATCTACCATAAAACCAAATTCAGACAAATGTCTGCTTCCAGAACCCTCAGACACGGCATTCTTGTCAAGAGGGGAAAAAGACCAATGCTTCCTGAGCACTTGCTCTAACTGGCACCACCATGCACTCTTCCTGTCCAGTTTCACAGCTCTGGGGGTTGGCCAGACAGCTGCACTTCATGTGGAGAAGATGGGCCTGTACAGATTAAGTCATTTACTCAGCACTCTCAAAGAAAACCCAGAAGATTCCAAAGTCAGGGTTCCTCCCACTGCCCTCTGCCATAAATTCTACCTAGTTTCCCCCAGACAAGTTCTTTCCCCAAACTTTGCAAGAATGCTCCAAAAGTCTACATTGATAGGCTTCAGTAACCTTTTTCTGCAAAGGGACAACTAGTAAGTAAATGTCTCTGCTTTGTGAATTATAAGGTCTCTATTATAACTATCCAGTTCTACAGTAACGGCACAAAAACAGCCATAGATAGTATATAAGTGAATGAACATGGGTATGTTCTGATAAAACTTTATTTACAACAAAGAAGTAGTAGCTCACATTTGGCCCACAGGCTATATCATCTGTTAACCTCTGCTCTACAAGGTTAGTTGGCTTTAAAAGTCAATAAAGAATTGCCTACTTTCTACTTAATAAACATGAGGTCTTCAATAGGACCTATATACTTAAGGAATTTACATTCTAGTTTTCTTTGGGTCTTATTTGAGACAGGGTCTCACTGGAGCTCAGACTGGCCTTGAACTTGAAATTCTCCTGCCTCAGCCTTCTAAGTGCTGAGATTATAGGCATGGATCACTATACTCATCAGGAATTTACATTCTTTTGGGAAGAAAAGGCACAGACATATAAAAGCCAAAAACAGCAACAGGAAGAAGCACACTAGAGCCAAAGGAGGACCCTGAGGGCTGAGGGCACATTAGCAGAGTCCACCATCTGATAAAATCATCTAGCGCTGGCATAGACACTCAGAAAGAGTTGGAAAAACCTCTCAGTGGGCAAGAATGAAGAATGAGTCAGAAATGACCACTTCAGAGCTAACAAAAATGCTCATTGTGGTGAGAGCACAGAGAAGTTTTCAGCAGAAGCCAGATGCTGATCTAAGAGCCATCTCCTTTAGACTCACCAAATACACTCCTGGCTCCTGCTCAAAAGACCATCAGTGGCCCCAGGTGCCAGGTAAAGTGAGTGCTCTGGGAATGTGGGGAAGTCTCCCCAGTCCCCTTTCAGCCAACACTAAGTAGAGTCAGAACACACAACAGGAAAGGCCAAAAGAAAGCATGCCAGCCACCCTGGAAAGACCTCACCTTGCTCATGGCAGTTAGGGCAGGGTCACAAGCTGCATCCAGATCTTGAACCAACAGCTGGATGCTGCTGGAGATGACACTGCAAAGAAACAAATTGTGATCACTTCCAAAAACTGTTTTTAGCACCTGTGCAAAATTTAGATTTGTCATTTCATCCTAAAATCTTGGGTTTTAATTAATGACACTGGAGGAGTAGCTGGCTCTTTCTTCAAGACCTGATCTTATGTGGTTGTGTCTACCTCATCAGGACCCAAACAACCAGGCTACTCCCAGTAACTCCCACCCCCAGAATCTTTTTGAATTTTTCACCTGTATTAAAAGTTTATGCCAGCTGGAGAGATGGTTTGGAGGTTAAGAGCACTGGGTGCTCTTGCAGAGGACTGGGTTCGATTCCTAGCACCCACATGGCAGCTAACAACTGTCTGTAACTCCAGTTCCAGGGAATGTGACATACAAGCAGGCAATATACTCATACACATAAAATAAAAATAATAAAATTCTAAAAGAAGTTTATGTTGAAACAAAAAGATGAGGAGGAGGAGGGGAAAGAGAAGGAAGCCGCCGTTGCTTGCCACCACTGATGCTGCCACAGACATTCTGCCACACACCAGTAATCCCAGCGCTCAAATATCTGTGAGTTTGAGGCCAGTCTAGTCTACATAGCAAGTTCCAGGCCACTTAGGGCTGCACAGTGAGACACTGTCTCAAAAAAAAAAAGGAAAAAGAAAAAGAAAAAAAGGGGGGGGGGAGCTGAAATGGCTCAGCTGATAGAGTGCTTTCCATGCAAACATGAGCATACGGGTTCAGACCTCAGGACCTGCATAAAAAGCTGAAAATGGTAGCATGCACCTGTAATTTAGCACTGGGGAACTAGAGACAGGATGATGCCTGGAGCTTGCCAGCCAGCCAGCCAGTTTAGTCAAATAGGTCAGCTCCAGGTTCATTGAGAGACTCTGTCTCAAAAAATAAGGAGAGCAATTGAGGAAGACACTTGATGTCAACCTCTGGCCTCCATATGCATGTGCACAGCACAAACACCACACACACACACACACACACACACACACACACCTGCACACACAGAGTTTAGAAACGGACAGCATATGGACTAAGAATCTTTATTTTTCCTCAGAAAGTAGTTGATTGAGTGAAAATACTGCAAGGCTGGGGCTTGCTCAATGGTTTAAAACATTGGCTGCTCTTGCATCTGGATCTGGGTTCGATTCCCAGCACCCATATGGTGCCTAACAACTGTCCGTAACTCCAGTTCCAGGGAATCCAATGCCCTTTTCTGACCTCCGTAACCACTGCATGACATGGGTGCACTTACACACATGCAGGCAATACACTCATGCACATAAAATAAAAATAATAAATAAGGGGCTGGAGTGATGGCTCAGTGGTTGAGAGCACTGACTGTGCATTCACATATATGCAGGCAATACACTCATACACACAAAATTAAAAAAAAATATTAGAAAATACTGCAAGGTCCCATTAGAGAGAGAAATATTCCAAGGTGTAACTATTTGATCTTGGTGGGTTCACCCTATGCTCCAATATGTCTGCATGCATGCACACTCACAGGCACTATGCACGCTCACAGGCACTCATGCATGCTCACAGGCACTCATGCATGCTCACAGGCACTATGCATGTTCACAGGCACTCATACACTCTCACAGGCACTCATGCACGCTCACAGGCACTATGCATGCTCACAGGCACTCTGGCCTGCTCACGCGGAATTCA